GAGCCCAACAGATTTTACTTTCACAAGTGGAGCAGTTTCGCAATTGCCATATTGCTCCAATTGTTTCATGCATATAAATTGCTTTATTATAATTATGCAGGGAGTTTTACAGTTTATATGGACACTGTAATGTAAACAGAGCAAAAAAAACAGAAGAAAAAGGAAAAAAAAAAGAGAAAAGATGAAAGAAAGAGGAGATAGAAAGGAGACGATGACAAAACATCTGGTTTCTAAGAATAAACCAGGCTTAATAATTTAACCTGGTTCTGATTTTATTTGACTAAATAATGACTGGATACGGTGTTAGAGGTTTACCTGCCGAGGACCACACCCCCTTTAATAAACGTCAATTTTGATGAACGACCGAATCTGATCTTTTGAAACCATTAAAAACAACAAAACATATAAAATAAAACACATTTCATTTCCAAGTTTCAAAGGCCAGACCGTCCAGAGGAAGCAGGTTTCATAAGACCTTTCAAGTTAAGCAAAGTACCAACAGATGAGTCAAAAGTAGCTTTAATCCACCCAGGACCGTGACGTTACATACTTTCACCAACACCCTGTCGAAGCCCTGCATGACCTGCTGAACCGGTTGGGCATCCTTTGCTGTTCAGTCAGGGCTGGACACCTAATCTGATCAGAGATGGGAGAGGTTCTTCAGCGCAGACAGCTGTCTGACCCGATGTCCTCTGACCTCACCAAGTGTTGATGAGGTGCTAATGATCCTGCTGGGTGATATAAAGCCATTGGTGGATGCACAACAGAAAAGGACACCCAACTGTTGTGGCTAAACTTCAGATCAATATTCAGCTGTATAGTAATGGCCACCGTGGAGTATAACAACGCAACATCAGGCCCCCAAAGAGTCCCAAGAAGCTGAAAGGCGTTGAGTTTGTAATGCTGCTGCTGTTAGGTGGGGTCTGCTGAAATGCACAGAATGCAGGCGTGGGATGAGAGACGCTACATGCCTGAGAGCTGAGTGGACGAGGGTGTGACAGGTGTGCCTACAGGGAGGCTGCACAATGAAAGCAAGGAATGCTGCAAATGCTGATAAAAAAACGCCGATCCACAGCAGAGGAGAGCGCCACCCACTGATGGTTTCAGGAAGTGCATGGAAGCAGCTTGTATCTACTTTAGCTTTTAGCTGCACACTGATACTTGTTAAGGAATCACAGCTTCTTTTACCACATTTTGTTACCCAATTGTTTTTTGAAAGTCAAATAAACAACCCAAGTTCTGATGGATTAAAAGTTGGAGCGATTTCTCACTAAATGGACACAGTCTGGCTCTCTGGAGCCTGAAAGGTCTGGCAGCAGCTCGCCTGAGAGTAGAGCATGTTTTCTACACACCGACTATTAAGCAGGAGCCCTTCAGGGCTCTGTGGAGATCGGACATGTTTTATGTTCAGTAGAGGAAGATGGCTCACTGGTTCTTAATATCTAATCTGTTTGTGGTAATGGCTGATTTTTATTGTTATCGTGATAATGAAAACAGAGTTTGTACTCTGATATAACAGAACAACAAAATAAAACTTTCAAAGTCAGAATTACAATGAAACAACAAATCATTTCTCGAAAGAGAAGATTTAAAAACAGAAAGTGAATCTGTCTGCATGAATTTATTCCATGATTTCAGTGACAGAGGAAGCTCTCTGCACTCTACAGACCCGCCTTACCTTCAGTGGTACATTGGTAATGAACTGAAAGAGGAGCCAATATATAATTATCAGGGATCCTGCCAGCAGATTTCAGCTTTCCAAGCTGCTAAAATCGAAACGTTCCCCCAGTACGTTCATTTTTAATGAGCGTATCTGTTTTTTGACATCTGGACTTGGAATAACACACTGACTTAAAATGAAGCCAAAGCCCAAATAGATGGTTTTTAATAAAAAGACCTCCTTATTTGCACTTATATGTATAAAAAGCTCTGTAAAAATGTGAACCACGCCCCCTACAGCCTCTGTCATCAATGCACAGATTGCTTGTAAGCAGGTGAACACAGAACTGCAGCCCTCTGCTCGTTCTTATAGTTCACTCTCATACTTGACATACTTTTTTAAATATTTTCTCACCTTACGTGGGCTTGCTATGGCTGTCCGAGTTAAGCAGGATGCAGAGTATACACAAAATCCATTTAGAATGGATTTAAAAAAAAATGCTTCGATTGTTTGCGAGGTCAGACCCGTTTAACATGGACGTGCTTGAAGTCACATCTGCTGAACTTCTGACCTGAAGTAAATTCAGGAAACTAGGCTGAAAAATGCATCGCCGCTGAACTACCGAGGCGTCAGTCTGCTCATCAAACAATGTTTCAGTCATTAAGGGTCAAATAAAAAGGCTATTGTAAAGATATTTGTCATTAAAACTTAATATCTCTTTAAGTAGTACAATTAAATGTCAGCAGAATTCCCACAATTAACTCAGAAAACTCAATAATCGATTGCTGCAAGTAAAAGAA